AAAAAAAAAATTAAGTAAATATTACTGGTGTAATAAATAAAAAAACCCACACAGATTAAATACTGATTGTTATGAACGTGGTTATAAAAATAAAGTTAGGTGATTAAACTTGAAGTTAAATGAATTAAACAAAAAATATGACATAAACAGACTTTAACACTAGTTTAAAATACATGCCGTTAGTTGTTCCAGATATTCCTCACAGATAAAACACTTACATTTCTCGCAGAGTCTCCCGATTGCTGCGGGATAGAAACGAAACAAAGTCAGTCAATGTGACAGGAATTCACACAAAAAACAAACCCCACTTTTTCTAGTTACGATACCCTTCTAGCCACCAGAGCGCACAGACCTGCAGACACTTCCAGGCTAACACATTTTCAATGAAATCCACGCCATGTTAGCATGGATGCTAACGCTATGACCTACAAAACAACAACAAGGGACTTCCAGGCTGCAGCAAAATCAACGGTGCCGAATACTGAAACGTAAAATGAGTCCAAACTTACCAACACCAGCTTGTTTTCGACAGAAGATCAAATCTGGATGATGTTTAGCCATCTTCGATTTACGTAGGTAAAACGCTTCTCTTTCTTTTTCTTCTTCTTCTGCTGCTGCAGCTGGTTCTTCTTCTTCTTTGTCGTTTTTTGGCAGTTGGCAAACAACGATGTGGTGCATTACCGCCACCAACTGGCTTGGAGTATGGGCCGGAATTCGCTCATATCAAATAATCGTAAAATAAATAAAATAAATAAATACTACAGGATATATATATCCTCATATCCTTTCACACAAATGAGTTTCTTTTAGAAACTGAAACAAAGCCATATCTAGAATTCCTTTGCAATAAATCCTTTATATCTAGCTTAATCCCCACCAGATTTTGAATCAGTTGTGTTCTTTCTTCCTGATAATTTTGATTTTGGTTTAATTTATTCCACTGCGATTACATTTCCCTGTTTGACGTTGCCCTATAATGAACAGTGTACTGTTTAATCCAGTGTGGCCAAATTTGAATCAAGATATTATTGTCTCCTCTCTCCTGGTCCTCCCTGTGCTTCTCATGTTTCTTGTTTTCCTTTGAATGGAATAAAACCATCTCCCTGTCCTCTCCTCCTCACACAGCTTTTTGCCCTATTTCCCACATTATCTCTTTTATCGTACTCTTCATTTCAGCTTTGCTAATACTGACAGTTAAACTTGATCTCCTTTAGCAGCCTAATATTAATTTGACTCTTTGACTCCTTCACCTCCTTCTGCCAACAAGGTTTAATTGTTTCCATTGTGGGGTGATCTTTTCATGGGAAAATATGTTAAATGGTAAATGGCCTGTATTTGTATAGTACTTTACTTGGTCCCTAAGGACCCCAATGCGCTTTACACTACATTCAGTCATCCACCCATTCACACACACACATCCACACACTGGTGATGGCAAGCTACATTGTAGCAACAGGTGCCCTGGGGCGTCACCGGACCCTCTGACCACCACCAGTAGGCAACAGGTGAAGTAGGACACAACAACCGAGACTGTCCAAGCCAGGGCTCAAACCAGCAACCTTCCGATTACAAGACGAACTGCCAACTCTTGAGCCACGATCTAAAAAATTTAAGCTATGACGCATTGATGCCATGTAAAGTAGTCAGTGTACAGCTCTAATAACAGTGTAAATTTGCTGTCGCCTCAAAATAACTCAACATACAACATACTCAACATCTAGACCGCTGGCAACAAAAGTGAGTACACACCTAGGTGAAAATGTCCAAACTGTCCCCCAAAATAGCAATATTTCGTGTGGCAACCATTATTTTCCAACACTGCCTTAAAGCGTTATGGCTTGCTAATCACCTGCATGTGCTCCAGAGCAGCGCATCTTGAGATGCTTGACGATTGCTCTCCAGATTCCTTCATCAACTCCTTACGTGCATTCATAGCCATCAGAGGTACAGTTCTCCAGATAAGATGCAATCGGGGCACAAACTATGTCAGCACGAGCAATGATTTACTGAAGAATTTAAAGAAAGACATCAAGCAGAACTTTGAAAACTGGACAGCGAGTTTCTCATCAACACCCCAGCACCTAGTCATATGAGTTGTGTCTGGGAAAGACAAATTATCATT